TACAACGGTACTGTCGTCATTAACGCAGTACAACGGTGCTGTCGTCATTAACGCAGTACAACGGTGCTGTCGTCATTAACGCAGTACAACGGTGCTGTCGTCATTAACGCAGCATGACGGTAGAAATGAAAGAATAAATAAGCGTTATTCACTTGACATAAAGGCTTGATTTGTAGTGTAGGCGGGGAGGACAATGTATTGGCAACTCATGCAATACATGTGCGGCCTTATCGCGACTCGAACCTTGGACAATCAGATCCTCAACACTTCACGTTAACCCTTAGGCAGCGACTCAAATTGGAATGAAAAAAACAAAATAGGACATTCTAGAAAAGCTACCAGCGACTCAGCGGTAAGTCAGTGGGTGAAAAATCGGGTTTCGACAGACAGCAAATAGCCCATTGTGTAGTTCTGTGTTTTACAGTAAACAAAGAAAGTTCTAAAAAAAAACCAAAACTCCACTGAAGTGTCATATAAAGCGCTTAAAGCGATGGATATAAAATACAGAAGTGAAACAGTTAACTTGATGGTTTTGTAATATTAGATAATGCCGTCAGGTGGAAAAAATATTAAAACGTGATTTAATGTAATATAAATTTGGTGGTGTAATACTGGTAATTTAATTTAAACTCTCATTCGTTTTATCCATAGAATTGATGGTGTTTACACGTAGAATCCAACATTATCTGTTATAGATCAACAAAGTTGCTCACATTAAATAAGATGAAAATATTTTAAGAGCAACGGAACCGTATTCTTATGACACTAGTATCTAAGATTTGCGATCGTGTTATAGCCCAAGGCAGGCGTAAAGCACGTGACACACAGGGCTATCAATCAGACAATTATGATGTTGCCCACCCCAAACCTGAAAATCGACGACCATTTTTCTCCATTGTCCTCTATTCCTCGCAGCCTACAAAAAAAACTTCCCTAATTCAAGTTTCTTGTCTAGAATCCATTTTTTATGACGCAATCGTGCCTTGTGAGTTTCTGCCTGCCTCTGCCTTTTTTTCTCTTCGATTTTATCCATCAGTCTTTGCCTCGAATCTAATTATATGCCTAAAGTAGCGAATCATATGTTTCCTTTATATGTTTAGCACTTACTGATTTTAATTTATATCTTTACGCGTTCCAATATTTCATAATTAGCTAATCTCCATTATTCGTCTCTAACACCACATTTCAAATTCTCCAAACTTTTGTTTTGTTCCTGAAGACAGGGTCCACGTTCCATTCTACAGAGTTGGAATATTCTGGAAGTTTCAAGACATGACGTAAATAATGATTATTTCTAAAATAATGATATTTTTAGTTACAGAAAATTCAGAAAAATATGACCACTACAGAGGCTAGTATTTTATGTTAAAATCACTTCTAGTGTATGATGAAAAAACAGCCATATCCCACATGATGAAGGAAGGATTAGTGTATGACATAAAAACAGCCATGTCCCACATGATGAAGGAAGGATTAGTGTATGACATAAAAACAACCATGTCCCACATCATGAAGGAAGGATTAGTGTATGACATAAAAACAACCATGTCCCACATGATGAAGGAAGGATTAGTGTATGACATAAACACAGCCATGTCCCACATGATGAAGGAAGGATTAGTGTAATGTCCAACATCATCAAGAAAGTATTAGTGCATGACGTAAGAACAGCCATGTCTCACATCATGTAAGATGGATCAGAGAAAATAATGGCTTATGTTGAGCGTTCAATCTCGAGAAAGTTGAGATTAAAATAGTACAGTGAATGGAAAAAAAAATTACGTATTTCTACGTCCCACGTGACATGTCGTCTTGCTATGCTTTCCTCTGATATTGTCTGGTATTTTGCGATTTACTACCATTACTTTAGAAGGAAGAAGACGTCCAAGAATACAAACTTTGATGATTTATTGCGGTAGTTGTCGATACAAAACTGATAGATACTGCACGTCAGAGTAGATGTGCCACGCATCAGTTCCACATCAACTATTCTTGGCATGCAGAGTTACAGAACGGAAAATAGATCAGCCATGAATGAAAAATCTAGTGTAGGAAATCTTACGAGGTATGTTTTCACACATCCTCACATCCAGAATTCAAATATGACTGAATAGAAGAGGTCAGGAACACTAATTGAATTCGAAATGGAATAACGAAAACAAAAAAAAACTCGTCGTCACTTCATTAATGTGTCGAGTTGTTCTTGTTAACAGCAAAAAAAAATAAAACGGTCTAGAGGAATGATCCCGGATATTGTTTTTAATATCTAAGAGACGTGTGTTAATATAACTGTGTTTGTTAGAGTGTTTTTATCATAAGAATTACTGGGGAGTTACATTTGAATTTCATTTACGTTGGTAGGTACGTTAATGAACTGAACGTTTCTCGTGCTAGAAAAACGTATTAAAGTTTGAATGAGTTCAACATTACCACTCCTCTAGAGGAAAGAATAACATTAAGTTATATACTTCATGAAATAAAAAATACAAAACCAGTTTTCTTCTTTGTTAGATTTCTCCAATCTGCTACCTTACACATGCACATCTCTTGCTCACCAAAAAAATCACATGTACATCTCTTTCTCACCATAACCATCACATGTGCATCTCTTTCTTACCATAAACATCACATGTACATCTCTTTCTTACAATAAACATCACATGCACATCTCTTGCTCACCAAAAACATCACATGCACATCTCTTTCTCACCATAAACATCACATGTACATCTCTTTCTTACAATAAACATCACATGTACATCTCTTTCTAACCATAAACATCACATGTACATCTCTTTCTTACTAAACATCACATGTACAATCTCTTTCTTACCATAAAGATCACATGTACATCTCTTTCTTACAATAAACATCACATGTACATCTCTTTCTCACCATTAATATCTCATGCACATCTCTTTCTCACCATAAACATGACATGTACATCTTTTGTTCACAAAAACATCTCATGTACATCTCTTGCTCACCAAAAACATTACACGAGTAGCGTTTGCTAACCAGTAACATCTCTTTCTCACCATAAACATTTCATGTACATCTCTTGCTCACCAAAAACATCACATGTACATCTTGCTACAGCATAAGGCTTAAGTACAATGGATTGAAGTAACAGAAAGTTAACGTTTTTTGTTAAGGGTTCACACACTGATAGTAACACAGAAAAGTAATTAATTATAAAAATCGTAACACAAAACAAAAGAAAGGTTAAAGGTTGTCTATTTTACTGAACTCTATCTCGCAAACAATGTAAAACAGTAGTTTTAAGGGTTTGATATTAATTTTTACTGTTTTCGTCATGAGCTGTCCACAAGTAAAAAATGCCTACCTTTATAAGCTTTGCACTCACGCCTTCTGGAATCTCAATACCGTTTCTTTCCTACAGAGGGCACTAGTGAACCAGTTCCAGTTCAGTCTGCATACTGTACGTTCTGGCCGACCAGTAATGTTAGCATAAAGAGTCTCGAAGTGTCAGTTCCTGGAGAAACTTCGGAGGAATACGATAATTGATGAAAATGAAGTAATTAGTAGTTGCGTATTATTAAAAATGATACTGATTTCACATTGCAGTGACAAGAACAAGACGTAGCCAGGTGGGTGTCTCACATAAGCAACTATTCATCAAAATAACTTGATAATCCAATCAGAAATAAGAGCGTAGATAATTTTTTTATTAGATTTGTGTCATTATTGTCCAAAGTTTCTCTTATTTGTTGAATAACTGGCACACTTAACTTTGGTTTCTAGTATTATTTTCACTTCGTCAGTCATTTTTGAGAACAAAAAGATTTTGACACATTAATTTTCCGAAAAGATAATAAAAATAAATAGTTTGTTTTATCCACAACGGATTTTATATTTTAGCCTCGTCTCCCGGTGAACTAGTTGTTAGTTTACGCTTAAAGCCAGGGTTCGATTCCCCACGACCGACAGAGTGCGATGTTCGATTGCTCTAAGAAAAAAAAAAAAACAGCTCGTAATCTTGTAGACAGAGTCTGAGAACATTGGTTTTCGATTAGAGAAATCTTACTGATATAGTATACCAATTCAGAAGAGAATCACGACTGGTTAACTACAGTTAATCTAACATCACACGTCTATTCTATATTCACGTTAATCTCGTAGTTAATGTATGACTTTTGGTTTTAACTGTTATTGTTCAGAGTTAGTGAGAATAAACCTATGTGTTACTACTTTCGGGCCCCCAGTGACACAGAGGTATGTCTGAAACTTTAAAACTCTAGAAACCGGGTTTCGAAATCTGTGGTGAGCAGACCATAGATAGCCCAGTGTGTAGCTTTGTGTTTAACTCCAAACAAACTACTTTTGGTTAATACGTGTGTTTACAAATTCATAACTATTTACACTGTTGATAAATGTATCGTTTTATAAGTATACAAAAACCAATTATCTATATAAGACCATAATGTTACTTAATTAGCTAACAAGTAACTATGGAAACAGAATATAGTTTATTAGCACTACACCTAAGAAAGTTCGTAAGAATCTAACGTTCTTAATATTCACTTGATGGAGTATTAATAGAGAAACAAACAGGGGAACAAAATAAAGTAGAGCACAAAATATTTAAATCACACTTTATCATTTGAGTCATATGAAAATATTTTTTACATTCAATGTATTACTGCTAACCCTACTCTACTGTATCACTCAAAGTACTACTGCTAACCCTACTCTACTGTATCATTCAAAGTATTACTGCTAACCCTACTCTACTGTATCATTCAAAGTATTACTGCTAACCCTACTCTACTGTATCATTCAAAGTACTACTGCTAATCCTACTCTACTGTATCATTCAAAGTATTACTGCTAACCATACTCTATTGAATCATTCAAAGTACTACTGCTAACTCTACTCTATTGAATCATTCAAAGTATTACTGCTAACCCTACTCTACTGTATCATTCAAAGTACTACTGCTAACCCTACTCTACTGTATCATTCAAAGTACTACTGCTAACCCTACTCTACTGTATCGTTCAAAGTACTACTGCTAACCCTACTCTACTGTATCATTCAAAGTACTACTGTTAATCCTACTCTACTGTTATCATGATATATTTTTTTGCACTCAAAGCATTACTTCCAATTCTATTCTACTGTATCATTATATGGCATGATTTAGGTTTAACCACTCATAGCTACAGCAGTGGTGAAAAGCTATCTTAAGATATCTTCTGCAATATAGAAAGAGACTTTCTGATTTCATTACATTTGTTTGTTTTAAGCCCAAAACTGCACATTTGACTATCTGCGCAGTTCCATCTGAAGGGATCGAAACATGAAGTTTAGTGTTATAAGCGTCAAGCTTATCGCTGAGCCACTGAGGGAATGGGGGGGGGGGTGATCAGGCGAATTTGTTACCAGACGAAAAATAGAAACCCCGGGCAAATATTTTAAATCGAAGCTATGCAGTCTGCGAATAACACGAATAAAATTGGCTAACTTTGCTGGGGCAAGGAGTACGTAACGTGGCTTAGCCAATTTGGCAAGTATAATTTTGTTTGTTACAATCTCAACCATGAGAAAAAATCCGATAGAAACGTTTTCCCCCCCTGTAGACGAAAGATATGAAATTAGAACGAAGATAGACGAAGAAGAAGAATATGTAATCAACTAGAAACTTCCTCTGTAATAGCCACTGTTAACGACGGAACGTGTTCCCAACAGTTCCGTCAAAATGGAGGTGTAGTGTTAAGAATCCGGTTTCTTTAAGAATGTTAATACTGATCATACAAACTATTCTCCTGAGAATAAAGATGTTTGTGCAGATTTTTGTTGTTTTGTCTGCTAAGAACTTGATTGCTAAAGGTTGGCGTTTCTCTGTAGCTACCATTTTATTTTTTGTAGCAAGCCATTTATTGCTGGCGCTGGACAGTTATCGACTTATCAACTGCTCACTTGTAGGCCGCTGTTTACTCAAATCTCATAACTGTCTCAGTAGCATTGGAATAGAAAGCTATTAAGGTATGTTTATAATTAGAATATGTATATCCAGTTTTTACTTCAGATGTAGAAGAGTTATGTTGTTTTCTCTTAATATTCCATCGTGTTTTTTTTTCCGTAATACAATGGCTGAGTAGTATGTTATATTAAGTCAATTTAGGAGCATCACTACGTCTTTAAAGTCCTCGTCACCACGTCTGGTCATGCTCTATCTAACGACCGTTCATCTTGGCAGTAACTCTGCAGTGTAGACTCTATTGCAAGAGGCTCCGTCCCAAGGCTTTTATTTCCAAAGCATTACATCCCCCCCCCCACTTGCTTGCTTTCCGTATGCCATTTTGTATACTATGAAATAGCATAAATACCCCTTTTGCTCTACAGCTGTTTGAGGTATGCGACAGTTAAATGTATATGTAATGGAAGTAAGTTGTTTATACGTGAATTTCCTTACTTTTTCATCCTTCTTGATTATGTTGTATAATGGCGCCTGAGGTTCGTGGACAGATTTTGTCATTGACCATTGTCTTTTGTCTCTCTTCCTGTGTTCAATGGTAAGTCTGAGGGCTTATAAAAATCTACTTATGATATTCTCGAAAGGCAGAGCATGGATAGCCCATTATGTAATTTTATGTTGAACTACAAACAAATAAGCCATTGTGTACGTCGATTCTCACCTGCTACAAGACGGCAGACTTTGCTTACAAAGGCTGGAATACGACTTCTTGCAGATCTCTTTCTGGATGGTCCTGGATTCCCAAGTTGATCCATATTCCTTTGTTTTCCAATGCCATGAAGTAATGCCTTGTGAATTATAAATTCCCGATCTGAAAATAACTTTATGATCTGAGCATATGAATATTTTGCGTCAGAAAGGGCTGTTTTACACCATCCCAAAAGTGATTAATTTTCGTTGGCATCACGCCATCTACATAAAGTTAAACAATGTTAAAACGTAGTTTTGATGCGTTCTGTTCTACAGCACCTTTTTTTATAAACCATGGGCTGTAACGTGACTTTCTGATTTATATATTCCAAATCTTTTTATCATATCGTGCTCAACTCTCTCTCTCTATATATATATATGTGTGTTTTTGTTTGCTTGAGAAGTGATAACATAACTTTCTGAAGTTCGTACACATTAAAGATTAGTACTCAGCCCGTATAGTGAGTTGCGTCTTATATTTCACGATGAAACGAAGACCAGAATTTTATTCATCTTTTTTTTTTCACGCAGGCCACAAAGTATTTAAAATGCATCGTTTTATTTATGACTGTACACACCAGTAGGCGCCACTAACAACAATGTCAACATGATCAAACGTTAATTAAATTAAACGTAAACGTGCATGAGACGAAAACATACGTGACTAAAGCTTATATTCTAAAGAGATAAAGTAAATAAACGTAGAATTTAATTGGTTGTCGAATATTCTCACTGAGTTAAAACAAAATAAGGGCTCACCACGATCAGTACCTGGTAAGGACTTTTTATTTTGATATGTGTTAAGTTAGGGCCTGGCATGGCCTGGGGGTTCAACTTGCAATCTGCGAGTCGCGAGTTCGAATTCCAAGCGTGCTCGTCCCTTTGATGTGTGAGGTCGTTATAATGTAACAGTCAATTCCACTTTTCGTTGATAAAAGAGTAGCTGAAGAGTTGGCGGTTGGTAATGTTAACTAGCTATCTTCCCTCTAGTGTGTTATTGTTAAATGGTGGCCAGTTAGCGCAGATAGCCGTGTGCGAACTCCTAAACAATTAAGCAAACATATGTGTTAAATTTGTTTGTGTTTACGCACAAAGCTACACAATGAGTATTCTGTGTTGTGGCCGCCGCGGTTATCGAACCACGAGTTTCATCGTTATAAGCCCTCAAGCTACCGGACGGCTATACACCAAGACGGCCAGGTTTATTATCAGCTTACTCTTCCTTTTGACTTTGATTTATTGAACTCTGGTTTTAATTACACGTATAGACAAATCTACAAAATGAAATCTTCTCATAATTTCATGTCCAGGAGTGGCCTAGTGGTTAGCCTGCCCGACTGTGGATCTACGGTTTCATGGCATAAAAATCGTGTTCTGCACTTTGAAGCCATGGATGCATTACAAGTGTAAGAGTCATATCCCACTATTAGATTAAAGTAGCCTAAGAGTTGACGTTGGGTGTTGCTATTGACAGCTAACGCAGATAACGCTTGTGTGGCTTTGTACAAATATATATTATATATGTCTGTATGTGCTCTTTTTTTATTGGAATAAGAAATTATTCAGAAACTACGCAAAAAAACAGATGTCTCTGACATTTTCACTGAATCAGTTGGAAATGAAAAATAATCATCCCAGCCTGTGAGGCAGGATAGACTGTTAATCGTGATATACTTATCTGATACCTTAATTCCAAGCATGTGTAAGTATAGCCTATATCTATCTTTGGGTGTCCGTATTCATTTAATATTAATGATATTAATTGATAATGAAGTGTATTTAGTATATAAATTTGATTATATGCACTTCAGCTCGTTGCTCAGTTACATTTTTGTTTACGTGCACTCCATCTCGTTGCTAAGTTACATTTTTGTTGACGTGCACTCCAGCTCGTTGCTAAGTTACATTTTTGTTGACGTGCACTTCAGCTCGTTGCTAAGTTACATTTTTATTTACTTGCGCTTCAGCTCGTTTCTAAGTTACATTTTTATTTACTTGCGCTTCAGCTCGTTGCTAAGTTACAATTTTATTTACGTGCAGAGACTGTATACTCATGTTAAACAGTAGTTATTGTATTACATCCTGAAATTGTTCACCAAACAAATTGGTACAAGCATTCTTGAAATCACGACCGGTTGACTAGCAACGTGAAGAATGTTTATTGGGTTATACTTTCCCGAGTCACAAATTTAAATATAATTATATATATATAACTTTGGGCTAACTACCTTTAGAAACTTTGACAAACTAATTCAATCCTACCATTCCCGTTTGCACGTGGTGCTTAATCTTCTCATCCAACTCGTTTTTATGGATATTACCACGAGGTAATGAAACCGCTCCTTTTGGATGACTTCTCTCGTCCAGGTGAACGTTAGAGATAACGTAGAACAAATATATGTTCATGAATAAACATTAAAAATAAGAGTCTAGGCGCAAAAAGAAAATACAGGAAGTATAAATAGGATCTCCGAAAGCCACTTCAATTACCTGTGTTGTAAACGCTGAAACGTCTGTTAGAATAAAAGAGGGTTATTGTAACTTATAAATATCTCAGTGGTTTGTTTAAAGGTTCCCTAGTTATTTGATTTGCCACAGTAGATTTCTGTGCCAAAAACTACAGCTTCTTAACAAATTTCTCACTCAATATTTAGATTAACTTTGGTTTGTAACTCACACCTGATTATCACTGAAAACCTTCTTATTACGTATATAGATTCACAAAGCTAAAAAACTACAGAAACGTTTTCATATAGTTTAATTTTCTTATTTTTTAACTTTCAAAGAACAATATATATACAGGAATCAAAATAATTAAAAATCCTTAATGTTATTGATTAAAATAATTAATAGCACAAGCGGATGAAAGGGAATATAAATATTTTAATACAAAATATAGTTTTCCACATATATAGAAATATTTCTATACCTATGGTTCATTGTAAAACTAGCCTCTACACCTCCATTTAATTGTAAAACTAACCTCTACACCTACATTTTCATTGTAAAACTAGCCTCTACACCTACATTTTCATTGTAAAACTAGTCTCTACACCTACATTTTCATTGTAAAACTAGCCTCTACACCTACATTTTCATTGTAAAACTACCTCTACTCCTACATTTTCATTGTAAAACTAGCCTCTACACCTACATTTTCATTGTAAAACTAACCTCTACACCTACATTTTCATTGTAAAACTAGCCTCTACACCTACATTTTCATTGTAAAACTAACCTCTACACCTACATTTTCATTGTAAAACTAGCACCTACATTTTCATTGTAAAACTAGCCTCTACTCACAAAATATTTGCTGTAGTTTTCATGCCCTTCGCTTGAATTGTCCTTACTCTATCATTTATGTGTTAGCTCCCCCAGTGGCACAGCGGTATGTCTGCGTACTTACAACGCTAGAAACTAGGTTTCGATACCTGTGGTGTGCAGAGCTCAGATAGCCCATTGTGTAGCTTTGTGCTTAATTCCCAATAAACAAACAAACAAAAGCATTATGTGTTAGATCGATAAATCCTGGTCTATTTAAAAATATATACGCTGTCAGACAAAAAACTCACATAAACGTAACTATAATTAATTAAACAACACGTAAAGTAAACAATGAAATAATGGTATTCATAATAGTGTACAGAGTATGAAACAGTTATGACCATTTAGTGTAACACACGGTTTTACGAGTTGGAACAAAGAAACTCACAGAAACGAAGAATAAAACCCGTAGTAAAGAAAAAAGTAACTAAAAGGTGTTTTTATACAGTCTATGAAACGAACTGAAGCTATATTATTACAAAGTAAAGTAAATGTAAAGGTGTAATGAAGACAAAATTAGCTGAATATGCAGAAACGTCTGACTGCGTGTTCACAAAGTGATAAGCGTACGGTTTTGAACGAATCGCACATGCGTATTTTATACCTAAATAAGTCGAGAAAGCCCATAGAAATTGTATTTAGTGTAATGTTCATTTTCTTTCTAGGAAATTACACGTGGGTTAAGATTTGTTGCCCATAGCAACTGTATTTAGTGTAATGTTAATATCTTTAGGAATACACGTGGGTTAAGTGTTATTTGTGTGAAATACTTTGCAGATAAAAAAAACGAAAGTTGAAATCGACGTCAGTCGTCACGTGATGACAACGACATTGTGCCCTTGTGTACGATACTCGTTGCATTAAAAAGTTTGACTAAGGAGAGAACAGGTAAGGTGATCCTGAATTGGGAGTCGATATGGAATCCGGACTCCTCGGACAAAGGCCTTTCTGATGGTATAAGATTTGTAGCGTTTGATCGAGAAATTTGCGAAAAAAGACATAGCAAGCGTATTATTTATATAAATAATTTTCAGTGTGATATATTTTATGTATAATCATTTATAATCTAATTATAAAGATATTAGTTTCAATGCCATTTAGTTTAAAACAGTATTAGCTTGTGATAATATACTTTCTAATCCAAATACAAGAATTTGATAATTTAGTTATAATATAATGATATAATGATATTATATAATGATATAATGATATAATGATATAATTTAACGATAACATTTCCATCTTAACTTGATCAGATATCACGTTCTATTTTTATTTTTTAAAAATAACAAGTAGTAAATTGTTAAATCCCTTACTTGAAGTCACCTGTGTTTTATACCTTTTTTTACTTATAAATAATGATTTATATAATTAATAGTTTACATATTTAAATATATATATATATTTCACAAGTTTTGGATCTACATTTTCAACATTGAAAACAATATTATAAATTATTTGGCATCGTTTATTTTTAAATAAGTTTTATTGCTTTTGATAATTAAATTTAATATTTTTATTTCTATTACAATATTTTTATTAATATATTTTCATTTCTTAACAACAAAAGTAAAGGAGTCATTAAAGATTTTTTTCTTTTTCATCTCATTTACAAACTTGTTAACTAGATATACACGGTTTGGTGAGTTGTGTTTAAACAGTTTCTGGGTTTTGTATCTTTTCTTTCAGATATTCCTGTACACACACCAATTCTAACTCCAGTAGAGAAGACTGACAAAAAATTACACCAGAATTTCAACGATACTCCTGTTTCTCTGAAAGTAATGCAAAAATAATAGCTCTGAAAAAAATCAAACCAATATTTCATTTTCAATGGATCACGTTGAAAAGGTGAACTTTACAATGAACTTAAGTAACTGGACAGATAATGTGAAATTTAGACCAAAGGAAACGGGTTTTGAACCCATATTTCACTTCATAGTCACAGGGGTTTTAAGCACAACTGTTAGTCTGTTTGGTATCGTGGGAAATATCATTTCCTTACTTATTTTATCACAGCGTCAAATGCGGACATCCATTAACTGTTGTCTCCAGGGATTGGCAACCTTCGACACGGCTGTCTTAGTAACTGCTATGTTGATGTTATGCTTACCAACCATTGGCTCTAAAGTTTCTACGTTGTCCAGTTACACAAATACAATCTTTCCCGTCATTGTTCCAGTTGTCTACCCTTTAGGCCTCATGGCACAGACTGGGTCAGTTTGGGTCACGGTAATCGTGACCGTGGAGCGTTACATCGCTGTTTGTCACCCACTGAAAGCGCGTGTTTTCTGTACTAAACGACGAGCTTTTCTCTACATCATCTGTGTCACCATTTTTGCTTTCTGTTACAATATTCCCAGATTTTACGAGCTTGAGTGTGTCAGTAGCGTTGATTCAATCACAAACTCAACAGTCTATAATGTTGCCCCTTCCGAATTCCGCCAGAATGCCCTTTACTTTGAAGTTTACCACGTCTGGCTCTACCTGTTTATCATGTACTTCCTTCCTATTCTGACCTTGGCATTGTTAAATGGCACCATCTGGCAAACCGTTCAAAGAGCCAATAGAAATCGAAGACGTCTCACACGTCAGCAAGAAAATGAAATCAATCTAGCCATGATGTTATTCTGTATCGTGGGCATATTCTTTGTTTGTAACATTCTAGCACTTATTGTAAACATTATGGAATACTTCGGCGAAGTGATTCATTCCATGGTTGCCGTTTCGAACCTCTTGGTAACTATCAACTCTTCTGTCAACTTCATTATCTACTGCATATACGGCCAGAAATTCAAAACGATGTTTCTGCGCATGTTCTGCGCGTGCCACATTATGAAGTACGACAAAGAAGAAGAGAGCACGAACGCTGCGCTACAAGTACGCGTTAACGGCATGCCAACGCGACGTTCTCCAAGCTTTTCTGTGACAAACGTTTAAAGAAATCATTGTTTGCGAACTCTGGTGAACGTGTTGCTGTTTGACTGTTTAGGTTTTGGTGTTATCTCAAACGGGAAAAACTGGAAGCAACTGTAATCCTCGTGGATTTATTTCATCTTCTAAGTGGCTAAATAAACTATTCCCTAAATCTTAAAAAAAAAAGTGCTTCATAAATGTAAATGTAACGTTAGGCCTAATAAATGTCAGATGTAAAACTGTAGTTGATCTGGTGTTTAGGGCACTCGACTCGCAATCTGTGGATCGCGGGTTCGAATCACGTCACCAAACAAGCCTGCCCTTTCAGCCGTGGGAGCGTTATAATGTGACGGTTAATTCTACTATTCGTTGGTAAAATAGCAGCCCAAGAGTTGGCGGTGGGTGGTATTGACTAGCTGCGTACCCCCTAGTCTATTACTTCAAAATCATGGACGGCTAGTGCAAAAATTCTACAAACAAATAAACATAAAAGAAAATACAAAAGTCAGAAACAATATATGTCGATTCTCGATCATGGAGCTTTTTAATGAATGCTATGACTATAAAAAAAGTACCAATAATTTGAAGAAAAGCAAAAAAAAATACCCTCTCTATGTCAAACAAAAGGTTTTAAGTTCGTAAATACAACAGATCAACCGACCTGTAAAGGTTAAATAAACAGAGAAATTTGTATTTAGTTTGTCCTTTAAACACCGAGAAGAAATTCTATAAAACATGTTCGTTTAAAGTTGTATTTAGTTTGTCAACTAAACACCAATAATAGACTCCATAGAACATGTTCATTTAGACTGTCAACTAAACACCAATAATAGACTCCATAGAACATGTTCATTTAGACTGTCAACTAAACACCAAGAAGATACTACATAAAACATGTTCCTTT